TGGAGGATGGGGAAACAGAGTCAGGCGGGGGCACCGCACAGTCAGAGGGGGCAGAGTTGCCACAATGTCTTATTTTGGATATTTCCAGAATTGTTGGGAGGCTGGAGGCGGGAGGCAGTGGATGGGGAAACAGAGTCAGGCGGGGGCACCGCACAGTCAGAGGGGGCAGAGTTGCCACAATGTCTTATTTTGGATATTTGAACCAGAATTGTCTATCATGACCTAATTGTCTGGAGGAAAAGGAGAGCAGACCAGCTTCTCTGGAAGCTCGAATGGGGTTCTGCCGTGACCCCCGCAATTCCGCAGATGCGATGAGGGGGTTACGGTGGCGCCGAGTCCCTCGCACTCTGGCAGTGAGGTTTCCCAACAAAAACGGCATCTCGGAGACAGGCCTGGCCGCCTCCACGCAAACCCTTCCGAGCCACAGGCTCTGCTTATAGATCCGCCCCTGGGCTGCAGAGTGAGAAGGGGAGGGGGAGCTGGAGGGGAGGAGGCTGCACCCTTGGGGGATGGGGCCTGGGCGGTGCGGAGGGGGAGGGCGGGCACAGGCCCCTCTGGGTGTGTCACCCGGGCAGCCGACCAGGGCACAGGTCAGAGGAGATGCTCAACCTCCTGGAGGGTGGAACCAGGTCGCAGCCCAGGCCTCCCTCGGGCTCCAGGCACGGCCTCTCCTCTCCGCATGGAGCTCACGCACAGCGGGGAGGTTCCCAACCTTGTCCCTGACGCCTGTGCCCCAGCGCCTACCTTGTCACCTCGGTCGCCTTTCTGTCCCGGGAGGCCCAGGCCGCCCTTCTCTCCCTGCGGCAGAGACACAGTTAGGAAGTGAGCTCAGCAGCAGCGTGGCCTGCTCTGGGCACGACCAGAGGTCCTGGGGACCACCCCCCGTAACTGCAGGGGAAGCCAGGCCGGGCTGCCAGCGGAGAGTGGGGAGCACCTGACTGCAATGGGCCTGACGGGCATCGTCCCCCACCCGACCCCCTTCCAGCGAGACCGCCCGCCACTGTCCTGTCCCAGCTCCCGGCGGAGGCCTGGCCCTTCCTTCCCCTGAACCCGGGAACCCCACTCCCAGCCCAATCACTCCCAGTCCCCAGGGGCCCAGACCCAAAGGGGCGCTTCCCACGGGCAATGGCACAAGAGAGGGGCCTCGGGCGGACGCGCCAACACCTACCTGCTGTCCCTTCTCTCCCCTCAGGCCGGGGAACCCGGGGGCTCCGGGGAGGCCCGCCTGGCCCTGTGGAGACACCCCGTGGTTAGATGCTGGGGGAGGCCTCCTGCAGGCCAGGCTGGGGGCGGGAGCTCCCCCTGCTCTCGGCACCCCCAGGTCTCCGGCTTGTGGGGTGGGGGAAGGGGGATCGGAGAGAACTGGTTCATGGGGTGTCCAAGCTCTCTCTCTCGTGGGCTGTGCGCTCTCCCAGGAACCCCGTGTGGCCTGCCTGGTGTCTACCTCCTCAGATGCAACATCACCTCCCCGCCATCTGCCCTGAGGGTCCCCAAGACTCCGAGGGGGCCTCTCCTGCTCCCCCACCCCCCTCACCTGCACATCTCACTGCGCCTGTTCACCAGGGGCCCGGGGCCAGCAGGTGCTGGGGTTGCCAGGTGAGCGAATACACGCATGAAATGGATGGAGTGAGCCCCCAGACCACCCAGGGCGGCGTGTGCGCGTGAAATGGATGGAGTGAGCCCCCAGACCACCCAGGGCGGCGTGTGTGTGTGAATGAAGTCTGAGAGGAACGGAGGGGAAAGTGAATGAGGGAAGAGACAGACAAACACACCTTCTCTCCCGGGCGGCCAGCCAGGCCCTGCTCCCCAACGTCGCCCTGGGGAGAGAGTAAACACCCCTTTAATCCCACCCCCGCTTACAGGGGGGCTGCCGTGCCAATTGGCCCGCACACCGTCGGCTCCTCCAGCCACGGCCCTTTGTTCTCCAACATGTCGCACGGTCACGGCCAGTCACGGGCCGTGGAAACCGCGTGTCCCGAGTCTGGGAGGGGGCTCCATGCGCCCTCGTGTGGTTTTTGCTTCCCCCAAAGGGAACCATGTCCGGAGATCCCCCGAGAGTCTGAGCAGCCTGAACCCCTCATACTGGTCTAGACGCTCACAGTTCAAAACGACAAGGGGCCGACATGTGTGAGCCCGGCCCCCCACTCAGCCCAGGTCCGGTGGAGGGTCCAGTGCGGGTGGGGACGCAGCTGGCAGCCCGGGTGCAGGGGTGGGGGCTGGGTGCCCCTCCCCACGCTGCGCCATGACAGGGGCAAGTGTGGGGGATGCTCTGTCACACAGCAGAGCCGATACGGTGAGAAGCTCGAGGCGCTCTGGTCCTATTTGGTAAAAGCTTTGGTGAAGGTTTCCATGAGGAAATGTGGCTCTTGGTGAGCA